CGCCGTCCGGGTCGGTTTTACATAGTAGCTCCGCGATTACCATTTGTCCAAAGTGCTATAAATGACCATCTCCCGATTGAATGAATGGGGCTTTATTGTGCGGATCAGAGAAGCACCAGGTAGACCCGGAAATCCGCGTAGAGAGATTCCACGATCAATCTAGCCACATTCGCAACTGTGCAGTACCAGGAGAGAGCATCACCACACGCTCACCGCTTCGTACGGCGCCTTTCCATGGTGGTCACCGCCCGCGCCCAACTGCCGCGGCATGCGTCGCAGTCGCAAGTCGCATCCACCCTCCATCCAGCTTCTACTTCTTGAACTCATACTCGGAGTACTATACACCACCCCCACACTCAATCTCAACAGCTACCGCATCCCCAATCTCAAAGACAATCCTCCCAAGCAACCCCGAAAAAATGCCTCCCAAAGCGCCAAAAGGCGAATACATTGAAACCGTACCGTCCCCTCTCCTCCCCCAAACCCCTCCGCCCCAAAACAAACACCCACTAACCTTTATTTGGGTCATACAGGACACGGGCAACAAAATCTCACGCCGCAGCCTCATCCACGGCACGCAGCACATCATCCTGGGCGGCAAGACCGTCATCCAATCCGACGCCGTCATCCGGGGGGACCTCTACCGCTCCTCCAGCACCAGCACCAGCTCCCATTCCCATTCCCAGTCCAGCTCGCACGCCAGCTCCCACAAGCCCACCCCCTCAACCTCCTCAGCCTCCGGCGCCGCTTCCCAGCAACAACAACAAACGCCATCCGTAGCCATCACGATCGGCCGCTACAGCTACATCTCGCGGCAGGCGATCCTGCGGCCGCCGTCGCGGCTGCACCGGGGCGTGTACGCGTTCTACCCGCTCAAGATCGGCGACCACGTGTTCGTGGGCGAGCGCGCGGTCGTCGAGGCCGCCAGCGTGGGCAACCACGTGCACATCGGCCGGGATGCCGTGGTGGGCAGTATGGCGATCTTGAAGGATTTCGCGTACGTGCTGGATGGGGCGGTCGTGGCGCCGGGGATGGTTGTGCCCAGTTGGTGTGTGGTGGGTGGGGCGCCGGCGAGGATTGTCGGGGAGGTCGGGGAGGGGTATGGGGTTGAGGGGGCGGAGGGGGGCATGGCGAGGGAGAGGTATCGGGTTGTTGGGAGGTGATGTTGACTTTTCGTTCTTGGAGGTGGGAGGGTTATGCATGGGGGGAGGGATGGTGGGTTTGGATATCCTACTTCGTGGAAAGATCTTTGGACGAGCGGCCGTTTGGCTGTGATCATGATATACCCCTAATGTATGTATCTATGTTTATTTGTTTTATTTCTTTCACCCTAATTTAAACAACCGAAAGTAGTAGTAGTGTGTAAGTGGTTTAAGAGTGGTCTGATGAAGAAAGGGAGTCGAGTGGTTTGTCCAAGTTTACCCAAGGCAAAAGCAAAGAAGCAAGGGCTGTCGTCATGCGTAACAATAATCAGAAATTGATCTACAAATCATACCGGTTCAGTCGGTCCTCTTGGCCCGTGTATTCCTGTCCCGCCTCGGTGCGAGCCATGTCGTTGATCCACCGCTTGTTGGGCTTGACTTCCTCCGACTTGGACAGCTTCGATGCGAGGTAGAGCCAGTTCAGCGCGTTACCGACCGTGCTCACTTCGTCGCAAACGTGCTCCAGGGCGTAGTTGTGCATCCGCTCGTACAGCTCGTCATCCGTGCAGAGTTGGAACAGATGCTCCGCGACCGCATCGGTGTCGCCGACTTCCACCAGGAACCCGTTCTTCTTGTCGGCCACCTGCAGCGGGATGCCTCCGGCCTTGGTGGCGATCACTGGTTTACCCTTGTGAATGGCCTCCGACACCTTGACCTCGAATCCCTCCCGCGTCGATAGCTGCAAGGCCACCTTGGCTTTCGAGAGGAGCGCGTTCAGCACCTGGTCCGAGGGTCCGAGTCGCACGACGCAGATGTTATCGGAGATGTCGGCGCAGCTGGTCTCAATGTGCGACAAGGTTGAGTCATAGATCAGCGAGCCGTCCGGATCATCGACGGAGCCATGGCCGCAGATGAGCAGCTTCGGCGGCTTCCTGTCGGGCAGCGAGGCCGTGAACCGTTGGTGGAACTTTTTGTATGACTCCACGACGTCGATGATACCCTTGGAAGGATCGAACCTGGCGATCTGGACAATGTATTCATCTACAGGCATTTGTTAAGTAGCGTTCAAGTGTAATTCAAGGTGTGCTGGCTTACCCTCGGGGAAGTTGATTGTAAGCATGCCCGAGTTTCTGCACATCGAATTGAAGATCCGGCCATAGAAGGCGACATCCCAGTCTTGCATGTTCTTGTTCAGGCCATCCAACCTGTGCTGCTAATTAGATACGCGTCAATGGCATGTAGACAGTCAACTTACCAGTCTGTCGAAGCAGGCATGTATCCCACTTTCTCGGAAGGAACATCTTCCGGAACGAAGATGCTCACAGGATGGCTGATGTAGAGGTCTGCCTGCTGGATCTGTTTCCACATCCAGCTCCAGGTTTCCTGCTGGGGCGATCCCTTTTGAGCAATGAGGTCGCTCCGAATCTGAATGTGGCTTCGGAAGATAATCGGCCTGTCGGGTGCCATCTTCTTGGCAATAGGAATCAAAGCAGGCATTTGGGGATCATCGATAATGATGACATCCGCACCTCCCTCAGAGGGATGGCGCAGAGGGCCTCCCGGACTGAGCCAGTAGCGCTTCGCATTTTCATCAATCCAATCGATAACCTTGTCCCAGTCCTCTTCGCTCAAGCGCTCATCTGGAGCTGCGACTCCTTGCAGGATGTTGTGATTGGTCTTCGTGATGCGGAAAACCCCTGGTCTAGGCTTGGGCACATACCTGGTTGGTTTCACAATCAGTCATTTGTCTCACACGCACGGAGTGTTGTCGGGAGTTTTACCATCTAATATCGGTTCCCAGAGAATAGGAGAACCTTGCAAGGGCATGTCTCATCAGTGCAACACCACCTCCCTGAGGAGTGGCACTGAAGAACGCCACTTTGGTCTTTCTCTTCTTGAGATCGGAAGCATAATACTGAACCGCATCCCAGGTCTTCTGTGTAACTGTCTTGCGGAAATCCTCTAGGTTCGTCAAACGCACGTGGAAGGCAGTATCCACCTCGACCAAGCCCAAGAATCCGACTTGCAGCAAAGGAATGTTTTCAGGTCCGAATAGCCTTGAATTGCTGTTAGTAATTCAGAAGCATAGTGAGAAGGGATGTTCAGCGCACCTGACACATTTCCGTCCCATGGACTCCGATTGTTCGTCGACACTCTTGATCTCCCAGCCAGTAGACTTACGAATAGGATGGTTGGAGACATTGTCGGTACCGATGCTGCTTTCTTCAGGCAAGACCAATGGGATGATATCGAGCTCGGCCCAGAGTTTGGAACAAAGAGTCGGGCACTTCTTAGCCACTGTTGTCGGCATGGCTAACCCAATGAACTTCTCGAGGCGCTCTTCGCTGTATTTGCGCAAGTTATTCAGGACATAGTCGACGATCTGTGTAGAAAGGGACTCGTCGCCCTCGGCAGTGAGATCATCCTGAACAAAGTCGAGAAGGTAGGTCGCATCCCGGATCGCGATGGCTACTGTTGCTCCATCATCATCGAACAAGATCGAAAGACCTGCGTAGATGGTCTAGGAGGAAGGACCGTCAGTAAGTTGCGCGACATTCACGACCATCGACACGAAGCGCTTGTACCTTCGATGGGGGTGCCTCCCAAGAGAATTTCTTGAAATGGTGCGACACTTGCTGTTCATGGACTGATGAGCGACGGCGGAAGGGTCGGGCTGCCATGTTAATGGTGATGATTGGGGGTAAAGAATAGTAAAAGAAATGGGTGGAATTGTCACGGACGAACACAAGGGTATCTGCGCAGTCTTATAGAGGAAAAGTCGTCCGGAAAAAGCCAACAGCTTTGTGCTACGACCGAAAGATCGTAAGACCGACCATGTGCGAAGGAGCTATGGTGGGATGACCTCACCAGTGTGGCCATGACGTATTGTATACACAAAGGTACCGCCTCCTACCGACCGTCGCCGTGCCTGGCGTTTGTTATACGGGTGATGGCAGCTCGGATGTTAATAATCCTGGTTGATGTGGCTTGTGTTCTTTCTAAATGCTCCGTTTGTGTCCGTTGTGTGTCCGTTGTGTGTCCGTTGTGAATGTGTACTCCGTATCTCACTGCTGAATGGTGAATACGGCACACTGTTTCAATGCGGAGAGATCCGATAGGTTTCTTGTCCAACACTCCACCCGATGAGAAGCTGGGGTGGATCGGATCCATGATGGTCAGAATGAATGTGTTTAGATCAGGTATTGGGTGCTTACCTACTCCGTACCTTCCTTCGACTTTGTTCCTCGGTTAAACAATTGCCTTTCATCTTTCTTTATTTTTTTCTTTCATCCTTCTTCTCACCCCCCTGGCAACTTGGAACTGGACAGACTGACAACAAGCCGACCAGGATGATAATTGATGAAAGATTGTATGAGAGTCTGAAACAGCCGAAGTGCTTGGCGCGGGGGGTGGATGCTTAGTCATCGGATAGCCCCTTTTACGGCGCTCGAGCTTTGCGAAAGGGAAAATGAAAGCGAAGCAAGAAGGAGAATCGTTTCTCGTGAGGTGGATCGTGAACCCTGAATTTCTTATTGCTGCTGCTCCTGCCTCCTCTCTCTTCCTCTTCCTCTGATCAGTCACGGTCGGATTGACTTTTACCCCTGCTGGTCTTGTCAGTGTGCCGTTCATTCGTTTTGTCCGTCCATTCATTCATCCATCCATCCATTCATTCATACTCTCTCTCCCTACAATCTTCTGTTGGCCTCGCTGCCTTCCCTTCCCCCTCCTCTCTTCCCCCCCCCCCAGGTAAGTTCTGTATGTCTTGTTTACCTTGCGTACTTCGGCGCATTGCCAATAATGGGGCACCATTACCTTGTTCACGCGGACGGAAAAGAAATTGACCCTCCGGCCGTGCTTAGCTCGCTGTCCTTCTCTCTCGTCGTCCTTCTCCCTCCACAAACCCCTCCCCTAATAACGCATTCTCTCCTTCCAGCGACTGCAACTCCGATCCCTATTCGACCGGGAAACGCTCATTGAACCATCTCGCAACATAATTCTCAATACTCTCTTAATCTCTTCAGCAGTCTGCGACCTTCAGCGGTCGCTTATCGTGTGTCACAATGGGCGGTTCCGTGTCTAAGATAATGGGGAAGATTTTCGGCACCAAGGAGATGCGAATCTTGATGCTGGGTTTGGATGCTGCTGGAAAAACCAGTGAGACTCCCTGCTGATCGCTTCTTGTCAGCCAAATCAATTGTGAATATTTGTACTAATCAAGGTGTCAACAGCAATTCTTTACAAGTTGAAACTTACAAATCAGGATGTCACCACGATCCCCACCGTCGGTTTCAACGTCGAGAGCGTTACATATAAGAATGTCAAATTCAACGTCTGGGATGTCGGTGGTCAGGACAAGATCCGTCCGCTGTGGAGACATTACTACTCCGGTACGACTTTCGCACGGAGCAGCTAGTTTCGCGGTGTCCGATGCTAACCCTGATTCTCCGACCAGGTACACAAGGTCTGATCTTCGTCGTCGACTCTAGCGACACTGCTCGGATGGAAGAGGCTCGCTCGGAGCTTCACAAGATCATCAATGATCGCGAAATGAAGGATGCCTTGCTCCTTGTCTTTGCTAACAAGCAGGATGTCCAGGGCCGTATGTATCTTCCATTCCTACCTTCAGAGTCAAGAGCTAATCAGCTGTCATCTGCAGATATGAGTCCTGAAGACGTCACTCAGGCACTGCAACTCAACAAGCTCAAGGACAAGCTGTGGTATGTTGCGCCCAGTGTTGCAACGGAGGGTACCGGTATCTTTGAGGGTCTTGTAAGTCAATAATCCCCAAACCTCGGCTTAACAGGGCTAACCTTTCATTCTTGCAGGCTTGGCTCTCCAACAACGTCAAGACCCAACCTCAGAAATAGATTATTCGCACGCCGGCCGCCAAACCCCTGCAGTCGTGAATCGGAGGCTATTCCAATGCCCCATCTCGTGTACAGCATGCTCCATTCCACCTACACCGAATTAGTTGGCACCTCCTCGTTTCACGTCGGCTTTGATGACAGAAGACGCAGCATTTGAACCCTGTGTTTCTTTTTTCTTTTCCTCCTGCGCATGCCTCTTCCGCCATTTCATTCTTCTCTTTTTCATGATATCCCTCACTGTTCCGATGCGGGCCATTTCAATACCCCTCCCCCTCTAATAATACTCCTACCATCTTCTTTTTCGTCTTGGCTTTGACTTTCTTCACATTATTATTTTCGTCACCCCCGTGTCTTCGGCGATGTGTAGAAACATTTTCAAAATAGAAGGGAAAAAACTTTGGGACCAGCACATACATGCATTCCACACATATATCGTGTTTTAATGATGTCTTTGTTCTTGAGCTGCTTTCTGTCTTTCATAGCTGCGCTAGATACTTGGAAAAAGAGAGATCTATGTTTGAATTGGCGTGTCTGACGTACATTTGACGTGCTATACTAGGGTACTGCTGATGGTAATTTATTGGAGATCAAGCCACTCACAAACAAAGCATGTGACTTGGCTTCGTATCAGACAGCGATCTAGACTCCTTTCCCCACTTACTGTAGCAGGGAATGGTCCTGGCCAGGATCAGCCCATACTGCAAGGTTATGGAAATGATGGGCTGTAGGTTCTATCGGAACAAGCGAAACTAGGAAAATTCTCCAATTGGGGTTAGGTACGAATGATATTGTCAGTTGGCGAAGCGCGATCTACATTGCCAGGTGGGCTTGTCAGCGACTAGGTTAGCGAACCTTGCATCTTTCCACATTGGGGCATCTCCAAGGTACTCAAGCACCCGCCCGCATACTTAAAAGGCACTGTGTTTCTGATATCACAATAGGGATGATTCTTCGAAGAATTAATAGCTCAATCATATTCGCACTAATACTGTACATTTTTAAAACCATATGTTAAATAAGTGGTATCCTAAACACACAAAAGTTTGTCGTCACGTTCGTCTCATCACTCCACGTTCGTTGTTGAAATCGACAGGAGAGTCGGAATCTGGCCTTGGAAGGGGCAGACCTCCTTTGTGGTAGTAGCTTTATCGAAAGTTTTGGCCATTTGATTTACAGCTGACCGGGCCAGATATCGTCGGCGATCTCACGGACAAGCTTGAGCTTGGCGATCATGCCGTCACGGTCGATGGCGTTGCCCTCTCTGTGGCTGGCGAAGCCGCACTGAGGGCTGACGCCAACCTGGTTTAGTGCCTGCTCCAGGGAGATGTTGTTGCCCTCGGCGATGAACTTGGCGGCATCGTACACGCGCTTCTTCATCTCCTCCTTGTCTTCAAGCTGGGCGAACTTGCTGGTCACCACACCGAGGATGACGTTCTTATGGGTGGGGAGCTCCTTCAGGGGCTCGAAGCCACCGGCGCGGGGGGTGTCGTACTCGAGGTAGTAGGTGTCAACGTTGAGCTCCTTGAAGAGCTTCGTGGCAATGCGGTCATAGCCACCCTCGGAGAAGTGACGGCTGCCGACGAAGTTACCACGGCAAAGGTGAACGCCGATGTGCATATCAGCGGGGCGCTTAGCGACGCAGTCGTTGTACAGCTTGATGTACTGCTCGAAGGTCTCATCGGCGGAGCGTACGTTCAGGGGATCTTCCTTCCAACCGGCAAGCATCTTCTCGGAGCAGAAGTCTGATGATCACAGTCAGCCATCTATGCATTTCGCGTGTTTGTTTGTGGGTGGTTGGTAAGCCTTACAAGCAAGGTTGGGGTCATCGAACTGGACGTTCCTGCAGCCAGCGTCATAGAGGATCTGCAGCTCAGCCTGGACGGCCTTGGCGATGTCACCGAAGTACTCCTCGTCGGAGCTGTAGACATCCTTGGGGTAGGCCTTGCCCTCCTTGTAACGCAAGTGATACCAGTTGGGAGCGGCAAGAGTGATCTTCAGGTTCTTGACTTCATCGGCGGGAACCACGCTGGCCAGGTACTTGAACTCATCGACATACGTGCTGCCAACGTGCTTGATCTTGCCGGTGCACAGGACGGTCTCACCAGGCTTGTGGCCGGCCTCGAGGAAGGCAGCGACATCAGGCGCATACGGGCGGAAGATGTCGGCGTCAAAGTCGGTCACCTCGTCGAATCCGTCCAAGCCAGGGAAGAAAGTACCCCAGAACACTAATTCAGAGTCTGGTTAGGCCTCATAGCCTTATATGATAACAAAGGCTCATACAGCACGGGAAAGTAACTTACTGTGTCTGCGATACTCTCCATCAGAGATGGCGGCATAGCCGAGCTTCTTCTGTGTGTCAACAACCTCCTTGATATCCTTGTTCTCAATGACATCCAGCTCAGCCTTGGAGACTTCGCCCTTCTCGAAAGCAATCTTGGTCTTCAGGAGATCATCTGTCCGAAGCAGAGAGCCCAGGTGCTCAGCACGGAAAGGGGGGTTGCGGTGCAGTTGAGGGGCCATTGTGATGCACAGACAAAATGCAATAGCTAGAAGACGTTAGCTGAAATCTCTCGCTACTATCTCAGACAAGATGGAACTCACTAAGGACAAGAATTGGTGAAGCCGAAAGAGGAAAACAACAGTCAGAGAGGCAGGAAAGGGGGATGAAGAGGAGGGGAGGGGCACGCAGCACTTTTTGAGGCAAGACTGCGAGATCCGAAGTCCGGAGCAGGAGGAACCATCTGTTCAGCTTGTGCCCCACAGGCCTGTTCCAAATCTACTTTTACATCCGAGTTTCGAGTTTCCCGGTTCCTATCGGTCACTCATTGTCGGCTACTTTATTTCGGCCTTCGGCATGGAATAGTGACTTCGACGGCCGGTCTTCATACTCTTAAGTCCCGCAGAAGCAGAAAGCTCTTATGAACCCATGGATGCCTTTCGTTTATCTCCATGGAAAACATAATAAACTTGTCCATAGCCAGGTAAAGACCTCAAGGAGAGGATCCATGAATCATAATCGCAGAAAGGGTGGCGGAAGCTTTGATCGACCGGTGTGGGGCAAAGCATTGATGCTGTAAGACCTGACTCAGCGAGGCATGCATTTTTCAGACAATCGCATAGGTTATTGTGTCAGTCTTAAGCATTCCGACTACAGCCAGTCGGTGAGCATGCATTAGACTCTTATAATAGCGCTTGACACTGTAGGAAGTGAAATGGTTGCATTGGTCGCATTGCAAACGAAAAGCAGAGGGATGAATGTCAGTGTCTGCACTTTTGTTCTGCTGGTGCGGGGGGGAGACGCTAGTCCCTCGACCTTCTCCACACTTGGTCTGTTTCGGTAAGGCCGCTTTTGCCGAGCGTCCAGAATAATTTCGCCTGTCAGAACTCAGACGTCAATCCACCTTATGTGACAACTTCTCTCGCAGTTGCACAACCCACTAGAATATTATATTGATGCGGAAGGATACCATATATACATCAAAGCTCTGTCTCCCGAGCACTGGGATCAACTTTTTACCGTCTATCCTGACTGGATGGAAGCATAATACCCTATCAAAACTCTCGTAATTGCATGGAATCATGTGCTTGGAAGTTGTGGGGAACCGCGGCACTTGACAACATCTCGAACTCCCGACCAGCTATCTCCTACTCACCGCCTGCTGTATAAAGATACACTACATGTTGAACTTAACCAAGATCCTTATCTTGTGCTGTTGATTCACTGTCACGACCATCAGTGTCTATACCACAGAATTACCTAATTCTAGCACTCAAACCGGTCGGAGCCTGGTATCCACAGTGTGTTCCTGAGATGCGAAACCTAATCAGGGATTGTCAAGTTCTTTGGGCAATCGAACGATGACTTCGCAGCTGTCATGTCTCGAAAATTTGCCGAACGAAATCCTGGATGAGATTGTGAGCTATCTTCCGGTGGCTACTCCCTCCGAATACAACTTTCATCATACACCAGCAATACACTTCACAGCTTCCAGTACGCAGAACTTGAAGAATGCCGCACAAGTATCTTCACGGCTGCTCGAGCTCGTGCGATCAAGACTCTACGCGCATTCTCGATTCTATCTCGATGATCTCTATGACTTTCTCAATTTCGTCACATCGCACAGACTAGAACGCTATATTACCTCGCTTGTCGTGCTACTCGGGAATGATCCACCCCGCGACTTGGACATTAACCGGTTGCTCCGACATCTGTCCAACCTCAACCCATTGCGGATTACTGTTCTTGCACCACCTTCGCGGATTGGGGCCATGTTGAACACCAAGGCTCCGGAGGAGCATAATTGGGCATTTCAAATTACTCACCAGTTGTGTCAGTGGGAGCGAAGTACCCTGCCTGAATCCCCGGTCTTCACGACTAACCCGTCATCCAATCCGTTGGATATCATGGCCTATTCATCACTCAGATTCAATGAGGGCTCCTCGCTCAGAGCGTACGCACATTATGAGTACTTCTTATTCGAGGTTCCGTCAGTGCTTGGTAAATGGGGTACAATAGCCTCCATGGGCAGTGATGAGGAGAAACTTTCCATATCGCGCGGGCTCCGGCATCTGACTTCATTCAGCTACACCGCTATATTCCCCTTCTATAATCATGTGAAATTGGTCTTGGATGCCCTGGAGCTGATGATGAACTTGCAATCATTCACCGTACAACTGGCCCCATGCTCAGAAGACTCGGCCATTGACCTGGCAAACAGAGGTCCCATCGATCCCAACGATCCATGGATGGAGCTGGCTACAGGGTACGATATCATCGCTCATTCCATCATCGAGCTGGGACGTAGCGCTTCGCTTGTTCATTTCCGCACCCTTGACTACCAAAACGAGGCACTTCGTGTTGAACTCAGCCAATCTTTAGGCGCAAAGTTCAAAGATACCGAATGGGAGACGAATGGCCATGGGGAATGGACCAAAACAGCATCGAATGGAGGAATCAAGAACCAGTCCTCGAACACTGATGCATGATAGCCTGATTATGGACTTTCCCACAACGCAAAATTGCAATTGAACCATTTGCGAAGTTTCATTTGCGAAGTAAGCTTTTCGTCATTTCTAGCACCATAATAGATAAACCCCCAGCTTAACCCTATACAATCTGATTTGACACTCACACTTCATCACCCTTTCATACCATTGGTGTACTTTTTGGTCCGAGCCTGTCTGTTTTTGCCGCGCCCCTACATCCTTGCAACTCCCATCATTTTCTAGAGTAGACCTCATGCCGTTCTTCCAATCCGGCATTGTCTTGTCTCTAACGCTGTTCAAGAGTGTCTGGAATACTGGAGCATGCTCCTGAGCAGAATTTGATGCCTTAAATACCAGGCTTCAACACGTGCCGCAATCTACTAATCTGGACCCATTCTTCGATTCCACTCTCATACACACATTAATACCGACACATTTTACACTGCATGATTTGCCTTCAGCAATCTAGTTACTGAATCAATTGCTCGTTTATCATATTCTCAAGATGTACGCTCTACAACACTATAACCTCCACACCAGCTGACTTGCTACGTAGCACTTCCACTCTCGATCCCCAAAGCTATACTAGAAGTATACGCGCTAGGACCGCCGGCGATATTGTTCACTCGGACAACCATGGATTCCACTAGTAACTCACATGCTGCTGGACCTGCGCTTCCCACTCTGGCCCACAATTTGCTGTTATCCGATGAAGCAAGCAGCAGTTGTCAGCAGTCCGTGGACGACATAGATTCGAGTCATCCGCCACACCAGACAGAATCCTGGAACCTCTACGCAGATATCAATGCTGGATTGCAAGCATCCCCGGAGAGTGCATTCCGCGCTGGCTCAGTGATCGGTTTCTCGCGGCTCCGAAGCGAGAACAACGAGAATACGGAAGATGATGAATGTTTAAGCCAGGTAAGAGCATCTCAGCTACCAGAATCCATAAGTCCGTACACTCTATCTTCATGCAAGAGCATCACGACCCTACCAGGTCAGGCCTCGATTCCTGAGAGCCTCTATTGAGTTTTCATCTACATCTATTCACGTTCACGTTCACGATCACAATCCTCTAAACCACAGACTAACCGCCTATCAGCTTCCTCGAGCCCTCCTCACAGCCCACTTAGTTCGCCAAGCCCAAACACTCAACGCACCCAACTCAACGGCCGTCTATATCGTCCACCCAGCCACATTCAACCCCTTCTCCCCCAGAAGACTCCTCGCCTCCCTGCTCAACACCACCACCACCACCACCACCAACCGCCAAGTCTTGACACGCGACGCCGCGATCGCCTGCCTCGACCGCGTCCAACTCTTCCCCGTCTTCGACCTCCAGGCCGCATTACAAGCCATCCACGAAATCAGCTCAGCCGTAGCATCATCCGCCGCGGGCCGCAACTCCCTGCAGCCCAACAAAGCCATCGTCCTCGTCGCCGGCCTCGACACCCTCGCCGAGGGCGTCGTGCGCACATCCAACGCCGCGCGAGGCGCGGCCGCCCTGACGGCCGCCCTACGGACATTAACACACCTGACCCGCACTGGTCCTGCAGCGGTGTCGGTGCTGCTGGTCAATACGAGTGGACTGGGGACAGCGGCCGCCAATGCTGACTATGCGAGTGGGTCGATCGCAATGCAGGATGAGGCCAGCAGTCTGGAAAGTGGGGTTCGGTCTGCATTTGGCGCAAATGGGGCGAGCCTATTTCCGAGCTTGTTGATGCGGACGTTGGACCAGGGACTTGATACGCATATCCTAGTGTCGACTATCAAGGGGTCGGGGGTGGTAGTCGAGGTTATCAAGGACCGGTTGGGCGAGGGGATCGGGAAGTGGTGTGTTTGGAAGAGCATTTGAACACTACTCGGTGTCTTTGTCAATTCATGCTACGATAATGTCGGAAGTAACGATGGCAAGCAAGGTTTACTGGAAGGATACGAAATAACAAGATGCAAATGGTCTATCATCATTCATGGGGGGGAAATGGTGTCAAAACTATTAGCAGATGTTAAGCAACCACACACATACACTCCTAGAACCCCATATTCCTCTATTATGCATGCAACATGTTTTCAGTGGTATGTTTCCACAGACCCAAAAGAAAAAGGAAAAAACAGCCATGAAGAACCAACTCCGGTTCGATTTCCTGCTTTTTTCTTTTCCGGTAAAGAAAGATGGGGGGGTATCAATCAAGCACGCCGTCAAAAAGGCGGCTTTTTGGGGGGCGGGGGCAAGGTGAAGACGAAATGTCATGGTTTGACACAAAGTTTTGGGAAGAAGAAGAGAAAGATAACAAGGTAACGAAGTTGCGCGAAGCAATCAGTGGCGATTAAATCGTGAGGAAAGCACTTCCTCAATGATTACTGATCTGAGCATTGTCTTCCTCCGCCCATAGCCTGAGAACAGCTCTTTCCACCACGTTCTGAGCCTCCTTCTCGCACTTTTTAAGGTCCTGGGCCAGGGTACTCTCTTCGAAGAGGCCATCTTGCTGTTGCACCTTTACCCACTGCTTGTGCCGCTCGCAGCGTTTCTTGATGCAAACACCATGGGATAGATGTTCCAAATCATCCCCGGCGGGTTTCGCATCCCCCATGGCAGTATCGCCATCTGCGTCGGTGGCATCGGAGTAGCTTGACGCCAGTGCCTCGGGCGTGCCATCCTTGAGTGCTTCGGCTCCCAGCTCGGAAAGCCGCCACTCGTCGAACTCCTCGTCTGACCAGGCCAGTCGGTAGTCGAAGCCACAGATGTCCTTCCATCCGCCCTTGGGTTCCTTCTGCTTCAGCTTGTCTAAAATACATTTGGAACGCTGCCGCACCAGAGTCACAAAGTGGCTTCGAGCCTTGAGCATCTCTCGGCGGTGGACGAGGCCATCGCGCTGTTTGCGCAGCTTGTCGATCATCGCGGCCTCGTCGGGTGCATAGGTGAGCCAATCAACATCGAAGTCAAGGCCCAATTTCTTGTTGTCCTCTTTGGTCCCTGTAGCGGGGCCCTTCGCCGGTGCAGAGACTGAGATGATGCTCTCTCCCAGCTTGCGGAATTCATCCGCTGATTTGACGCCCATGACCACTGCCTTGAGGTCTCCGGTCGTGAGAACACCACCTCTGCTTCCGAGGTCTTCTGGATAATTATTCTTCTCGACATTATCATATCCGCTGCCTGTCTCTAGGCCACTTCCTTCTCGAGAGGACGCGCTGTCGTGAAATGGGCTGTTCGTTGAGGATCCCAGTCCACCTAGAGCTGCCCGAGCGGCTGACTTCCGAGCACCAGGCCCGGCACTCACAAGTAGGAGCCTAGTCCTTTGAAGCATAAACTCTCGACCATGCTCATCTGAGCAGTATTTACTGGGACTGTCTTGATTGACACGGGCAGGCTTTCTGCACTCCTTCAGCCGACACATCGGCTTCCAGGTTGTCCATCCCTTGCCCTGCTCCTTACAATTCGGACCTATTTCTTGTCAGTTCAATATCCGTGATAAATCATTATCGAGACATAATAGTAGTCGGAAAGAAAGAAGGTTGATTTGGGAGGCCAACTCACATATATACTTGTCAATCAGGTCAGCGTCTCGTGGATCAATGTTGACGCATTTCCCATGAAACCAATCCTCACAGCCACCGTCGCACCCAATCATCCACGTGTGATTGTCCGGCTTACGACAGATGCAGAACACTTCATCATTGTCTTCGGAGTCATCCTCCTCTTCCTCCTCTTCCACCTCCTCCACAAGATTACTCTTGGCGTTCTTTTTTTTGGCTTCAGGCGCCGGTGAGCTCGCGACGGACGCGGAACCACGTTTAGTCCTTCCAGCTGCTCTGCTCGTACGTGATGAAGGAGTGTTCGATCGCCTGCTTGCAACACTCTCATTGTCAATTTTAGTCAACTTCCTTTTCTTGGCCGCGGGTTTCCTAGCTGTGCCTTTCTTAGTGAGGCCGATACCGGACTTCTTGGTCGCGGCACTAGGTTTGGTGGATACTGCCGGTGAAGATCGATCGGAAGAGGACGCCCGGGAGGCTTCTCGATTCTTGAGGCTGGCAATCTTTTTCGGAGTTGGGTGTTCATCGGGCAATGCTGTACCATCGAGCTGAGGAAGCCCTGATTTGTGGTCGGGCTCATGATCAAGAGGAACTCCATTCAACTCCACATTCGACGGTTCGGTCTTCACTTGCGGTACGGGCGTATTGTGCTTCGTCGCAGATGTCGACTCGCCGACAACGCTGGGCAGACCTTCATAGATATCGGCCCATACCTCAGGTACATTCACTGAGCCCTCAACTTCGCCGGCAGACGCCATCTCAGGAATCCTAAGGCGGCGATGTAATTCGTCCGCCCGCTCAAATCCAAAGTACCCGCTTTGTCGCCATCCAGTGATCCCGACTACCTGACCATTGTTCACAACTATATTGGCCGGGATGAGGTTGTTATGTACTAGGGCAAGTCGTTCGCCTTTCTTCCTCTCGCGAAAAAGAACATCCTTCTCAACTTGCTGGACGTCGGGCGGAAGTTGCAGATTTAGGCCGCTGCAAACATATGAGGGTCGGTCGGGAGCGGCGTCGACATCTCCTAAGCGCTGGGATATGCGGCGACACTGATACTTGAAATTTTCGATTTGATCAGCACTGAGATACTTCCAAGCAACATCCAATGAGACACCGGAGAGTCTTGACTCCACGGTCACATTCTTATTCTCGATGGTACCACAAAAATATATCACCGGAACAGTAATGTCGAGATCTCGGAGGGCATCCTCGGCTTTCCTTGCCGCGCTGAGCTCATTCGCATTGATGCACGAATATATCTCCGCTGCGGCATCGGCTTCAGGCTCACGGTCGACTCTAATGATGACGCTGCCAGCAGCGAAAGCCTCTCTCGCACCCGGAACATTCAATGAATTTTCTGGCTTGCAAAAATCCTTCACAATGTCTTCCCAGTAGGACTTAACTTCTGGATCCGACTGGCACCAATACTCATGGCGAGGCTTGAAGTCATTGTCCGACAATGCATAGCGCCCGTAATGCACACTTCGCGCAAGGAAAAGGTCATCGTCGGGAATGAGCTCGGGGTTGGTTTCGTAGGGGTTTGTTGGTCGCTTCTCGTCTACCGAGCCGTTCGCCTGGCTTGAGACGGCAGGCGGTTGTTGGTCTCCAGCCATCCCCAGAGCACCTGCCAGGGGCTTGGGCTGATCCCGAAGCACCTTACCACTGTTACTCCGTCTATATTCCCTCAGCAAAGCTCGAAGAAAGCCAAACACGGCGTCTCGGAGATGAGCCAGGGTTCTACCCAGGGAGAGGGGGAAAAGAAGAGTTCCAGAACACCGGACGTATTAAAAAATGAAACCCGTTCTTGTCAAACACCTGACCATGATGTTGTCTCCGATCCTCACAAGCTATCGCAAGGTTTGGGAGAGGATGCGACGCGATATATCAGGAGTGGTGGAATGCGCTGCGTAGCCTGTCACTTCTTTGTCAGGTGGTGGAGGACGGGGATGGCGGCGGCGTTCGGCGAAAGATGCGAAACGGTGGTAGGGTCACGACGCGGTCTGCAAGCCCCAAAGATACATAAAACCACGAGTAAAACTCCAAAAATGTATTTCGCAATTTCTCAGGCGCCGTTCGTCTGGACCATGAGTGTCTTTGAGAGTAGCACACGAGGGGAGGTTCAGAGCTCTGCGGCAGCGCGGTCGGCGACGCGGAACAAATTATGGGATCAGTTTTAACAGCCTGGACGCCCTTTGCCTCGGACTTAATCCCAAGGCGGTGAGGATTAACGCCGTGAGCTTGCAGCCTCAGGCATCAAATATTGTCAGCCTCAGGCCTGTAAGTTTAACTCTAAGGCCTCGCCTCTCAAGGTCTCGAGCCTCCCGTTGACCATGTTTTGTGGCTGGGCTTATCTAGTTCAACAACCTTGACGAAGTACAGTTCCTCAGTGTTTGTTCCTTCGCAACCTCCACGAGTGCATCCCTATCTAAAACATTCGCTCGCACCCCTCAGCCAAGCGGCAATTCTCCTGGCAGCAATGGCTCTGCACCCTCTTAAGCTTATTTCTAAATTCAGCCTGACAACACGGAGTCTACTTTAACTATTCTTCGTATCAACGATGTTGCCCTTCCCACTAACAACTTCAGGGTCAACATTACTTTACCGTAATCAGCTAGGCAATCAGCTAGCTTGGTCTCATATCTGCACCTGCTGATGCTTACGGTTCCTTTTGCTTATCATGCTGAAGAATTGTCGTCTTTAGACTGTCGTTCGGTCTACAAACTACCCTCGGTGACAGTCCGTTCATTCGTTTCTGCCTGACCTTGAACCGAACGGACCAGTGGGGATTATTCCGAAACTGTTGAAACGGCCCCAAAGTTTTTTCTTCTGGGCAGATAATATGGTTCAATGATCATTCCCCAGTGGATCTGCAGTCAGCACAAGGTTGATCTCGATTTTATCAGATAATCCGGTGCACTTCTCCCTCTCCCTCACGGAGTCTTCACTACCTAGCTCATTCCTCCTTTTCCACCCTTCTCAGCCCACACTTCATATATTCTGGTGGTGCCACCCAAATCCACCTGGCCCTGCCATATTGAGGTCCCCTCTTTTCCTGCCAGGCTGCCACCCTTCCATTCCTTGCCGGAGGCGATCCTGCAAATTTATTTTTGGATTTTAGCTTTCAGTCGTCGATTTGGCCCCATTAACAGCTCGATCCCCTCGATCCGCACTTACACCCTGAACGCATGCGATTGTGACTGCAAAGCCTCCTCCGAACATCATCAGTCTGGATGCATTATCCGCCAATATCTTAGACTCTCTTGGTTGTCTCGCCGCTGACCCCATGTCGGGCTATTGAATGGCCTTCTTGTACCACTATAAATTAACTGAAATCGAAGTGGATTATCGGAAACCGTGAATACCCTCTTCTCCAGTGTCGCAGTGGTCCGGCCGACAAGCCCTCTCATCTCATTGCGACCTCCGCGCTCGTTTCGTTGAACTTCTTGGGCTAGCGTACTACCGCGGTTTCCATGACATGATCAATTCATCGCGCTAGTCCCGACTTTTCTCGTCGCTCAACAAGCATACTTTATGAAAGCCACGACGGCGAAAACGCCAAATCGAGTCATTGCTCACAAGAACCGCATTGCGGTATCCCAACCACCCTGCAACAGGTTATCTCTTTTTTTGTCTGGAATCCCCGGCTCGGAATCATGTCTCCTGAACCTGACAAATTAAGCACAATAGAGCCCACGGCAGGCTCTTCCCAAGTACGGTGGCAGTTCATCAACGCCTCGGGTAACAGCCGAAATAACCTAACTCAAGTCAAACGTCATGTCATGCAAGAATATATGCGACAAAAGCGACAGGCTGCAGGCCAGTCTGACATCGATGCTGATGAGACCATAGGGGAAGGCGGCCGCAAACCTTCCAGGTCACGTCGGAAAGCCAAGGATAGCAGCCATCGCGATGACCCCGCCGACACAAGGCCCAAGGTAGAGATTGACGAAAATGCTGAAGATACTGCGGCCAACATCGTGCACCAACATGGATCCGAAACTACCTCAACTTATCCAATCAGTGAACATAACATCACCGAGGTCGTGGAAAACTTTAGTGCAGAAGTCGGCGCTTACCCAATGTCCGAATCATCCGTTTCATTACCGATCCGGGACAGTCAAATGTCCAGCTACAGCAGCTCCTCATCGGATTCCCGTATATGGTACTCGGCGACGTCGCAAAGCAGTAGCTCAGAGCTGGGAAGCTTGACGCCACGGTCCTCCGCCCCGACATCCCCGTATGAAGTGGCGCTATCTCCGAAAACAGTACTCAGCGCCGCACGTACTGATCCTTTCAACACCTTACCACTGGAGTTGGACCTTGACGGCCAGCGGTTGTTCGATTTCTATGTCAACGAGATGCCCGCTTGCTCTTACGGGAATCATTTTCGATCTTCTAAAGCGCACAATTGGTACACAGCAGTCTTCGTTCCTGAAGGGATGAAAGGGCCGGTGGCGTTTCAAAATACCATCCTTGTCCATGCAGCTAATACGTGGACCTGGGTTCGTAATCAGGAGGTGGACGAACGAGGTCTGATTCATCGCGACCGGGCCATTTCCATGCTTCGCGAACATCGGGAGAGACACTCTCATGACTTCTCCGATGAAGTAATCATAGCTTGTCTTAGTGCTGCCGGACTTGAAGATTTCGATCCCCGCCCTGGACGCAAGCAAATCAGCTGGCTTCATATGCGCGCTGCAAGAGAGATGATCCGGGCCCGCGGCGGTCCCGCTGCATTCCATAAAACTCGACTCGGAATGCTGATAAACTGGCAAGATTACATCCTCTCGGGCTATGAGACTGACGGACCGAGTTTCTTCTTTGATGCTGCACCACCGATGATACAGCCAAATGAGAGACGTGCCTCTGAGCAGCAACCAGCTACAATGACGCAGCCTATGATGGCTTCATACCCGGTTCCAGTCGAGCTAAGCCTCTCCTGGCCTCGACCATTACTTCCATACGAAGAGATTCAGAATCAATGCGATGAATTCATAATCTTTCTCAAACGGTGTCAACAGCTTTCGGCCTATCAAGCGAGCACTACTGACGTCAATTTGCTACAAATGCGCCACACTGCCTTCCGAGAGGGGTCACTTCTACACCAAATCCTGGCGGCGCCTCCAGGGGCGCGCTTCACTGCATCTGGCAACCGCAAACAGTTCGTTGCGCGGCTGGTTGCCCTGCTCATGCTCAACGCGGCCCTCTGGGACTACCGACATTCCGCGCCGCACAGCGAGACGTTCCTTCAGACGCTGCAGCAGGCGGTGGTGGACAGCGAGGTGAATATGAGCGGTTCCGTTGAAGCACTGCTGCAGATCTTGCTCGAATGCAATGACGGATCTGTCAACACGACCAGCGACAGTTGCAGCCAAGGACCGGATTTCACGCAATACTCCCAGACCGCAAACACCCCATACCATCGGCCATGGTTCGCTGGTCGGATGCTCAAGGTCGCCAAGCGCCTCAGTTATGAGTCTTGGATGCACGTCAAGTATGTTCTCTTCTCTTGCCTGACTATGCAACCAGGCATGCCAAATGTTGCTCTGTGGGAAGATAGCCTTCGACAGGAGATCCTTCACGCGCCGCTCACCAAGTATATCATGTCCTCTTTGGAAGAGCTATGACACCGGCCCCACGATTATACGTTCATTCTTCTTTATCAGATTCCATATTCCTGCAACACCCTACCTAGACTCGGAGTCCTTTCTGCACCTTCCCCCTTTCTTGTGATTCGTCCTTGATGACATAGACGCTATTTTCTCTCTCTCTCTCATCCGTCTGCAACAACACTATACATTCCTGGGTGCAACCTCTCTTATATATATGCTTATCCTTCAAACCACCCCTTTTGTTCACTGCGTGTTATACCCCAGCTTGTACCAACGAACTCTGAAGCCATAGATTTCTTTTTTGCTTTCATTCTTCCGATGCTGTAATTGAATATCAATTGGAGCATCTATCTATGACATGATTATTATACATCTTGATCGATGACCACAACTGACTCGATTTCGCCATCATGCAACGCTAATTGTGAAACTCACAGCAGAACCCCAATGCAGAATGCAGTCAGCTATAATATACAACAGGAGTTTATCTATATATATTATATATTAAGATGCATTTTGCAAGTCGATTGGGATGTTTGGGTTCACCTGTGGTGTAGGGGAATTGCACTCGCCTCCGCCGAAGAAACTATGGCTAGCCCCCCTTTCTTGTCCTGCTGGAGCTCCAGCCCCTGGTGATGATCCATTTCATCTCTCGACTCTCTGCGATCGAAGACATGCTCGGCCTCCTCTAGCGACCGGCCCGCGGTCTCGGGGTAGGCGAACCAAACCAGCAGGGCGGCGGCCCAGTTGAACGCGGCGAAGCAGTAGAAGTAATTGAAGCCCATGCGTGAGCGCGCGATCGGGGTGCACTGGGCGAAGATAAGGTTCAAACTCCAATTTGTGGCGGTGGCGACTGAGGCTCCCCGGGCGCGGATGGCAGTGGGAAAGATCTCGGACTGGTAGAGCCAGGAGATGAGGCCCAGGCTGGTGAAGAAGACGGAGAAGACGAAGAATAGGGCGATGGCGGCACGGACGGCGGTCGCCGGCGGCGGCGGGTCGGTGGTGAAGTTGCGGTAGGCTTGGCCGAGGGCGGCTTCGACGCACATGGTGGCGCCCATGCCCACGAGGGAGGGGAGAAGGAGGGTGCGACGGGGCACCCGGTCAATGAACAGGATGATGAAGACGGTGTTCCAGAACTGGGCGAGCGCGCCCCAGATGCCCTGGATCATGAGCGAGGTGGTCTCGGAAAGGCCGAGCGAGCGGTAGAGGCTCGGGTTGTAGGTCGAGATGATGTTGGTGCCCGAGCACTGCGTGAAGGCTTGCATGCCGCAGGCGAGGAGGATGCGATGGCGCCAGGTCGCCGAGGTGAAGAGGAGAGCACGCCAGGTGCGCGGGGCGCGGCGTCGCTCTTCGGCGATGCTGGCCCGGATTTGCGCGTATTCGGTCTCGACGAGGGAGGTGTTGGCCGCGTGGAGGCGGGTGAGCGTGGTGCGGCCTTCATCGGTGCGACCCCGTTCGATGAGCCAGCGGGGGGATTCGGGGAGGAACCAGATTCCTCCGCTGAGGATGATCGCAGGCAGAGCTTGCAGGGCGAGCGGAAAGCTCCAGGTGAAGTTCCCTGTGCGGAGAGAGCAGCCGTATCCGACCCATTGCTGATGGAGAAGGTTAGAAAGTATATATTTTCGGTGGTTCGAGCAACCTACTGCGACGACTGCCCCTAACCCAATCATCCATTGTTGGAGGGATCCTAAGAAGCTTCGGATTCGCGGGGGAGATACCTCACTCTATTCCAATTGATTGTCAGACTGATTCGAGGATGAGGGGATGGGGATGATGAGGAACAAGGGCTGGAGTAGTTGTGTAAGAGGACTTACACAGTAGACGGGGATGATGGATGACATCAGTCCCACCGACAGGCCGGCAATCAAGCGGCCAGCAATGAGCATGGCCACATTGACCGCGCCCGCCTGCAAAGCGGCCCCCAGGGTCGCCAGAAGACCGCCAACGAACAGCACGGGTCTCCTACCCCACGGGTCGGAGAGGTATGAGACAACCAAGGAACCTATGATAGCGCCGCCTGTCACAGGGTTGTCAGGTCTATCAGTCCAATAATAATAGTTGAATGGGTTGAGCGGGTGGGCCAAGTCAGCAGCAGATTGCAGGGAACCAGATGCACACACCGTTATACGAGGCGACGATCCCGCCCGTGGCGGCATCCGAAGGACTATGGAATCGGTGTTTGAAGGTCTCCTGGTCGATGACAGTGGAGATGACCCCGGAATCATATCCGAATAGGAAGGATCCCAATGTTGCGAACATACAACACGCGGTGACCAACAAGTAGGAAGAGGTGAACATGGTTTCAATTGGGAGGGGGGGGGTTTCCTTTTGGGAAAGTGGGTTGTGGTTCTGGAAGAAGCTCGGGCGAAGCAGGATTGCGAGGCGAATACGAGCTGCCACGTGAAGGAGAATCCCGATTGCCGGACTCTGCCTGTTTCTGATGGATGTTCTAATGGTTATATAAATGTTAAGTCCATGGATCAGTGAACGACATTGTCATGACATGATATAGATGTTGTTGTTCAAGGCTTTGAGGGGGAGGGTTGCAAGCAAGTGCAGCGCTGAGCTGCGCTGAGCTGAGGTTGAATAATGGAATTGACGATAGTAGACAGACGACAATGGAACAATGGAACAATGGAACAATGGAACAATGGAACAATAGAGTACTGTACTAGAATGCAGGCGAAGTCCAGATCAGTAAGCAATTAGACACATACTCGTAACTCCATGGAAGAGTGGGAGAGAGAGACAAATGACGCAGGAGTCTTTAGGTCATTCATTCCCTGGCTGGAAAATAATAATACAAAAAATTAATAAGTTAATTGTGGAAGGACAATGGAAAAGACGTGGAACAAGAATTGATGGCCTGAGGCATCCAAGCGGACTTTTCACCCTCACTCGCCCTTCGGCCTTTTGAAGGGCGCGACCGAGGCTGACTGATGGAGTACAAGTCATATCGGCCAAGACGCCGAGGATGAAGGATTAACTAACCGTGCCCTGATCCGTGGGAATATTCGAACTCTGTAAAGTAAGCACCTTCTATTTGATGGCATTAAATGAAAAGTGACTAAGAGAATTCATATGCTGACAGGGATCAGAAAACGAGTAGAACCAGCATAATGAACTAATGCTCGCCGATTGTCTTATGCTGATATACACCTGCACATCGACAAATGCCGGCCAGTTCGCCGAAGCCAGCCCTACCTATGAGCCATTTTTCTTCTCTCACCTTCAACTCAGGGCTCTCACCTTCCTTTTCCACCGTCGTTTTCTGGTTGCATGTGCGTAGTTTGGAAATCTGCTCTGTCTCCATTGGCTCATCTAGTCTCCTTTTCTCTCCCTCTGCTTCCCAGTTCTCGCGATCCTGCTCCCTTTCCATCCCAATCCCTTCCTCTGTGTGCGCAAAGGGTCCCCCCGTCGCATTCGGTCGCCAGTAGAGGCTGCTACCCCTCCACCTCGACAAGGATCTCTCAACTGTGTCGAATAGAAGAGAGTTGTCTTTAGAAACATCTTGTTTCCCTCCGAGAGACCAATGTAAATGGCCCCCCCCATTCAAGCTCGTATTTGCCCGAATGCTTGATTCTTTTGCTGTTCTACCTTTCCCTCTCTCGGATATAGCGTCCAATTCCCCGACGGGTCAATCGGTCTATAAAGTACTATACAGTACAGTACAGACTATCATTACCCCAACCACTTTTCTTCTTCATCTGCCCTCTTCATCCATGATCCAGGTAGAGAGCAAAGGAAGAACAGGCGGTAGATGGGGCAAAGGAAAATATGACTGTCATGGGATCGGAGGTCCGATGTATGATGCATGGTCTGGGCAATTTGTGGAGTTTTTTTTTTTTGACTCAGCGCAAGTCTTACTAATAAATGCTTTCTTCCGCTGGTGCCCCAGACCAGACAGACCCTCAGACAGACACTCAGACACTCAGCCAGAGAGAAACACAAACCAAGACTCCTCGTCTCTTCGACTCTTACCTACTCTTACTCTTTCTCTTCCTACATACCCATACGTACACAGACTCTCCCTCTGTCCCTTTCTTTCTTGGCTTTCGACCTATCTTCCACCGCAAACAAGCCAGTGCCTGCGGTTTCGTGACGTGTCGATCTTCCTTTCACTCTCTCGGCGAACGATCCTCGCGCTGCTCTCTGCTCTCTGCTCTCGGTCCCTCCCTCCGTCCCTCCTCCCTCCCACTTCGTGGTGCCTTCCATGACCCTGTGAGACGCCAATTCCACACCCTCGTGGACGTGCGATCGTTCATCGGCTCGCCACGCGGGTCGCCGTCCCCTTGCTGATCGGAACAGTTCCTTCCTCGTTATCACTTCCGATCGGATCTCCGACTTGCTCATACCCCCTTGCATGTCTTTGCGCCGACCGCCGTGAGATCGATCTTCTTCTGCTCTCATCCCCCACCCCCACGTCATCTGCCTCTCTCTCCCTCATGGCATCCCCTTCCGGTCCGTTAATCGCCGACCCTGCGAATGAGGACGATCCCTCTGCTGTCTCCGATTCTTTTTTTGCTTCCCATGATGATGTCGATCCCGCTGCCTCGGCCCTTCATGACGAAGATGATTTACCCATGAGGGACGAGGGGCTCAAGCCTGTCAAGGAACCGCTGCCTATGCAAAAGCGTCGCCGGGTAACGCGGGCCTGTGATGAATGTCGTCGCAAGAAAATCAAGTGCGACGGCAAGCAGCCGTGCACGCACTGCACGGTCTACAGTTACGGTAAGTCCCCGTTCTCCCTGTCGGACCTTACTTCCGCAACCCTTTCCTGGCTGTGATCGCTCATCAGCTTCGGTCGTCCGCAGAGTGCACCTACGACCAACCTTCCAACCGTCGTCGCAACCCCGCCCCGCAATATGTTGAAGCTCTGGAAACTCGACTGCACAAAGCCGAGGCCCTGCTGCGCGTCGTGCTTCCGGATTTAAATCTGGACGATCCACAATTCGACGTGCATGCTACCGAGCAGATGCTGGCCGCCATCAAGCGTGAAAAACCCCCGCCTCCCCCGCAGCAACAGCAACAGCAGCCGCAGCAGGAACCGGCTGCACCACCTGCACCTGCTGAGACGACGAACGGATCGCAACCCTCAGTCCCCGCTCCTGCTGACGATACGACCACGGACGGGGCTAATGGTGATGAATCGCTGCTTGAGTCGATGGTCGATAATTCCGGTTACCTCGATCTTGATGACCAGGGACATTGGGATTATCATGGACACAGTTCTGGTATGACGTTTATCCGACGCCTGCGGAAGCAGCTCGGAGCTTCCGACATGCCGCTGCCTACTCTCCGGTCGCGACCGGTCGCGCAAACGCTCTTCGACAGCCCCAAATCCGTATCTGAATCGCCGCAAGATGCGTCCCTGCCGCCCACTCATGATCTTCCCTCCCGGGAAATTGGCCGGCGACTATGTCACAACGCCTTGGACGATGCCTGCGCGTTAATGCGTTTCGTGCATGAACCTACGTTTTACACCATGTTTGATCGAATCTATGATACGCCATTAGACCAGTTTACCAACGAGGAGAATTCCTTCCTGCCGCTACTCTATATCGTAATGGCCGTCGGATGTCTGTTTTCTGACGATGGCTCCAGTACCTTGGACATCTCAGGCTACGAGGGTGCTATCGGGCAAGGGTAGGTCGCTTCTTGTCGGTCTGTTTGAGAAATAAACTAATTCGCGATTGCAGGTTTCAATACTTCAAAGCAGGTCGCCAGCTCCTGGAAATAACCGACTGCCGCGACTTAACCTCGCTTCAGGCCATCTGTTTCATGATTCTATTCCTGCAATCGTCCGCCAAACTTAGCACATGCTACTCTTATATTGGTATCGCGCAGCGATCCGCTCTGCGATTAGGCCTGCACCGCAATGTGACGATACACTTTACCCCTCTTGAGCAGGAGATGCGCAAACGCATCTTTTGGACGATTCGCAGAATGGATGTCTATGTCAGCACCTTACTCGGGTTACCTCTGATGCTGAACGACGATGACATCGATCAAGTGTACCCAGAGCCGGTCGATTCGGAATTTATCACCAAGACTAGCATCCTACCCGTGCCTTCGGATCATACCCCTTTGATGGCTGGGGCGATCGCGCATACCCGGTTGACCAACATCACACTCAAGGTTGTGCAATACATCTACCCTGTGAAGAAAGCGCAACATCCTGTCGCATCGGATCAGCGCTATGTGGTCAGCCACTCCAAAATCCGGGAGATCGAGAGGGACCTTCAGGCCTGGATGGAAGAGCTCCCCGCGGCTCTGCGACCGGGGACGGAGGTCTCCCCACAGCTCGAGCGGTAAGTTGTTTCTCTCTCTCCAGGGGTTGACTATTTGCCCTTACTGACTGTCCACAGCATCCGCCAACTACTCCGCATTAGTTACGCCCACGTTCAGGTCATACTCTACCGGCCCTTCCTTCACTATGTCTCCAGCGGCTCGCAAGCTCGAGGAGTGGACCGGCGATCCTACGCTTGCGCTGCGGCCTGTGTTAGTGTCTCACGCAACATCGTACATATCACGACCGGCATGCATAAGAGAGGGCTACTCAATGGATCGTTCTGGTTCACCATGTATACCACCTATTTCGCCATTTTGTCGCTGTTGTTCTTCGTGCTCGAGAATCCCGATTCTCCAACCGCAAAGGATGGCGTCCTCAAAGACGCCATGGAAGGCAAGAACACGTTGGCAGGATTAGCGAAGAAGAGCATGGCGGCAGACCGGTGCTCTCAGAGTCTCAATGGTCTTTTCAAGAACCTTCCGGAGCTGCTCAAGAATCGTCAGAGTGCGAAGAAGCGGGCGAGCTTGAAGCGGCCCGCCCCCTCGTCTGGCCACCACCACCGCCCACCTCCCGCCAAGTGCGCCGCGAGCGCTGCCGCCTCGGTGCCCTTGGAGATGCCACCACCACAGCGTGCCAACACTTTCCCTACGCAACTGCTCAGTCGATCGGTGAAGCAAGAGGCTAGCAATACCCCCAAGAGCTTCGATGACAGTGCTGCTAGCCGCAGTCCTGCTTCTAATGTGCGCCCAAGCCAGCCTTCAACGTGGATCCCGTCCACGCCCGAGATGGCCGCTGATGCCGTGTCCACGCCGTCGGATATTGCATCCAACAACGACAGGACGCCCGCGTCGACAGGGGCATCTCCGGTATCCATGTCGCTCGCCTTGGGCGAAGTCACACCAAATCAATTTGGGGCGCACGCATTCGCCAATCCCAGTCAGTTCCCAGATCTAATGCCCATCATGTTCCCATCGGACGACCCTTTTGCCTATCCGACACAACCGATGTCTACACTAGAGAACGATCACTTCGGCCAGGATCCAGCCAGCGCTACGACTGCCACCTCTTTCGCCCCTGGTTTGGCCTCCACGGCCGACGGCAGCACCGTCAGCACGATGGGAGTGTCCACCCCCACATTGGACGGCTTCGGCAATTTCTCCGCCTTCTCCAGCGGAAATCCGGGGGCCATCAGCTCCAGTGTGCCGGGACGCTTGCCCAATCAGCCACCGCATCATATCAACCACTCGCGGCTGCAGTCGCCTGTCTCCCATGGAACCTCGACCCCTGTCAACGGCGCCGAAGCCGTCAACAGCCCCGATCTGGTCTCCCTGCCTAACCAGAACTTCATCTGGCAAGGCTACAATTTCCAGCCTCCCAGTAATTTCCCCACGGAGATGATGACCGCGACAGCCACGCCGACCGGATTGGGTCAATTCGGAATGGGCGCGCCCGACCCCACGTCGCTGGGCGTCGGATTAGACTTGGGCCTCCCGCTTGACGATATTTTCGGCAATACCGACGCATGTCGGCCCGGCGGCTTCAGTAATGAGGAATGGCTTCAGTTCATGAATGCCGGGAATTAAAAAAATCGAATTCCTGAATCCGAAAAGAAGAAAAACAAAAGAAGAAGTACTAATCAAATACCCATATGTTTGTATATGCCGTTTTTTTGGTCTGGACCCATGAAGATCATAATGTTATGAAGGCATTGCGTGGGGGAGTTCTGTGGGCGGCGTTCGGTTGCTGCTTGGGATTGACATGAGTTTCCTTTCTGTATTCCTTGGTTCTTTGCACCATGGGATTGGCATCTCTTTTGTGCTCGATACTTTTTTTTTGTTGACGTTGCTAATTCTTTGAATATGATTGATGATCTATATATCACAGGTTATGTTGTATACATTCTAGACTTACCTATTGGAATATCGTCTTGCCGGTGCAGGACCATCCCTGCCGTATCGTACATACTTTCGAGTATATATATATGTATATATATTTCTCTCTCCAAAGGGGTATATCCAACTGAAATCTGGGAACCGGGCTCAACCTCTCCTACGCCGAGGGGGCTGATACCAGCTCCAAATATTCAATCCGATCTTCGTTCCGGAGGTGACCGGGAACGCGGCATGCCACGTCTCCGGATATCCCGATCCATCCGGTCGCAGGTTCTCCCAGAAGATGGCATTGCCTTTGATGGGCTTGAATGTAACTCCCTGCGAGGCAGCGGCAGCGGAAGCGGCAGCATGGCTTGGCTCGCCATCCTTAGGCTCCCCTCTTGGAGGGGCAGCAGCAGCAGCATCCGCAGGGCACTCCACAAACCGACACCATTCGCGGAGGGCCGCGGCACTCCGAGGCATCCTCAGCCGCGGAAAGTTTGTGCCTCCACCCTCGCAGTCATCCCCCAAGTAGACCATAAATGTGCTGAGGCGGTCCCCGCCACGGGCAGCGGATCCGGCCCAGTCATAGTGGTGGACGTAGTGGCCGGAGGTGTTGTAGCGTTGCGCCCACATGCGTTCAATGTAGAGGTGCGGTTTCCAGCCCTGGAATGCGGCGGCGCGGGCCTCGAGGCATCGGACGGTGTTGTCGCGGGGGAGAAGAGCGCGGTCGGAGAGGCGGCGGGTGGCATCGTGAGTTGTGTTTTGGCCGTTATAGATCGTGGAGAGAGTGTAGTTCGATTTACTTTCTAGGTGTCAGCTTTCCTATGATGGTTTCCCGTGCAAGATCATGGAGAAGGGAATCGTGCTTGGTGAATTGGTTGAGATGAGATCGAAGCACTGAGGCCGGGATAGAATGGTTTTTGAGTGGGAAAGTACCTTAGATTGACGATGTGGTCCGTTTCTTCCGCCGACAAGAAATCCTCAATATATATCACCAATGGGTCTTTCTGCAGAAGGTGAACCCGGTAATTGTCGGGGGCACAATTTGGAATGACCCCATCTGGAAGACTCAGGATATCCGGGTTGAGGGTGAGGCCCGAATCGGGCTCGGTCCCGTCGGCATCGAGGTCGAGGTCGAAAAGATTCCCTGCGGAATCGGGAAAGAGTTGGCGGAGGAGCGGCGCGAGAACGAAGAAGTATGCGGGGAGAAGATAGAGCAGCGACGAGAGGAGAGTGGAAAGGGAGAATTTGGGCATATTGATCAAATCCCTCCCCCGGTGGTTTGATTGTCGGATCCCTATTCTTGCGGAGGGCTCGGCAGGAGATGGATAATTGATCTGATAACTCAGTCTGTGCATTAGAGTTATGCAAGTACATTAGTAGATATGCCACTTGGTGAGCCTGTCCTTTCATGATTAGTCACGGTGTCGGGAATTTGTTCAGACGCCGCACATAAGCCGAGAGACTGTTATCTCCGAGGAAGAACCATTTGGTCCGGTCGACTCCAACGAGCTTTTGCGTTTATCCTACCTCCTGGTGTAGTCAGCACCCACAGGCCATGTTGATCAAGAAGGCCTTCCCATGCACGCGACAATGCTCGCCTGCGGACAAGCGATGGCTCCGCTCATACACGAGGGGCCACCTCCACGCGGTCTGGGGTCTCCAAACACCATGGCGTCATGGAGTAATCCGGAGTCAAAGGATCTTCACCGCTGCTTTCGTCATGCTGTCCAGTGAGAAACAAAGACAGAACCTAAAAGGAACCATTAACGATTGCATGCGGAGACTCCGCGTTTTCAGTCTTCCAGAACCAGCGTCAACGCGGAGAAGCGTTCTTGAGCCCGCGTGGGTGGTGCGGGTGAGCGCCGACCCCGCCGTCTAAAGGGACTTCCGGTCAGCTGACCGCTAATCTCTTTAAGGTTAGTAGGATTAGCACTATCGCTCCTTCGCATTGAATTGTGTTTGACTTATGCAAATCGACTTGCTCATGGCTGAATTAAGCCTCGTGTGCGTTGCCCGTCTCGGTTAGCCCACATCCACCGGCGGCAACCTTCTGCTCCTATCCGAAGCTCTACGTAGCACTATACGCTGCATTTTCCTCGGGCAGATCTGGCAGGTCTGAAGACAACACATCTCGTACACAATACCTACATTATCTGCGCCACTGCATCTCCATCTCAACCGACTTTTAGCTTTTGACCTTCCTATATACCCGTTAACTGGTGTCCTATCCACGGCGAACTAAAGCTTGATCGGCACCAAAATTATGCACGTTCCGGCTTAGTCGGCTCTCTTCCGAGGAAGGACTCCATCAAGGAATGGGGTTAAGGCTTCATCCCGTTATCATGACTGGCCTAAACATGATTACGAAGAACATTGGGAGGGGAAGGGTGTCAGAAACCGGCTAAGTCCTCTCTTGAACTCGACAGGGGCGTCGAAAAGTCGCTTAACCCTGATTGTGGACCTCCCTGTGTTGGGCCAATTCTCAAACTCCTACGCTCTGATTCGCCGAAGAGCCGACACGAGGCGAAGCCGAAGGCATCGATGCTGGGCCGTTCCAGACAACAACGAGATCGGCACTCCGAGTTCGTGACTCTGGTAGAGATAAGGCTCTTTAAGGCCGAGTTTAAAGTTCGTCTGGGAATGGGTTGGTCCACCGGCAAAGTCTTCACCGTGGCCAAGTCGCCACAGGCTCGCTACCTTGGAACGTGCAGAGCCCAGTCAGCAATCAGTCATTTCACCTGAGGGTTATTTGCTTTCGCAGGCGCCGGAACAGTCGGGTAAATGTCCAGTCTAAAGGGGGCAACCAGGATTATATACCTTCTCCTCGTGCAGGGAAATTTTCTAACCTTCGCCCCCACACCCTAAATCTGCGGCTGAATGTTTCCTTCGCAAGAACTTCTCCGCGCCGGCTAAGCGAGACATAGTCAGTCTGGGGAAAACTCTCCCCCGACCCAGTTTCCCACATCACGAGGCGACCTTTGTGGGAATCAAGGCAATAGTTTGCATGATAAGGACCAATTAGCTGCTTGCTTGACGTATCAAATGCGTGCTATTCACAAGAACCCCCATGTTGAGTCTCCCCAGATGGGGTTTCGGTCAGACGTGGATTGTGGAGAGCGTTCGACGAAGAGGAGAATCCACACGGTTCAGCGTTGATGCGTCGCTCACTGTAGATAATTACTTTAGGGGCCCGGCCCGTCTCGACCAGTTTTTAAATCTTCCTCAACTTCCGCCTTCAGAACTTTCTCTCCCCCATATCTACTTCCATCATCTCCCCCTTCCTTGTCTCTGTTGGCAGGAAGCCTGCTTTTTTTTCTTTCTGCCTTTCTCTTGGTCTTTTCACCTTCAAGAGATAATTGGGGCTTTTTCATAGGTCTTCACATCTCTGTTCTTCTTTCTCCCCTCCTCTCCCCTTCCTTCCTTCCTCCTTCTCTCGCCCCCTCATAGCAATGGGTGGCATTCTCCACCTGGTCGAGGATCGGCCTACGCCGAAAGCTGTTTACAACTGGCGAGTGTATGCATTGGCCGCCATTGCATCATGCGGTTCTCAAATGATCGGGTACACCAGTGGTTTCATCGGCACGACCATCACATTGGACTCTTTCATGACCGAGTTTGGCCTGGACAAGAAGACTAGCTCCGAGAGAGACTTGATCAGCGAAAACATTGTCTCTCTCTTCATTGCTGGTGCTTTCTTCGGAGCTTTGCTCACCTATGGTATTTCGTACTATGGGGGACGCAAATGGAGTTTGACCATCGCTTCGGCTGTCTTCGTTCTCGGAGCGGGTTTGCAGTTGGGAGCCAACAGTTCGACCGGTCTCGGCATGCTTTATGCGGGCCGTGTGTTGGCCGGTCTCGGCACCGGAGTTGCCTCCAATATTGTCCCGATGTACCTGTCCGAGCTAGCCCCTCCCGCCATTCGTGGTCGTCTTGTTGGTTTGTATGAACTTGGCTGGCAAGTTGGTGGCATGGTCGGTTTCTGGATCAACGTAAGTTATTCGCCCGCGCAATACGGTCTTGATGCTACCCAGCACCTTTCCCTACTCCTCCAGGAATCAGGGCCTCTAAGCTAACCTTCCCTGCTTCTAGTATGGTGTTGAGCAAACCATTCCTGCCAGCCACAAGCAATGGGTCATTCCGTTCGCTATTCAGATTATTCCATCAGGAATGCTTTTCCTCGGCTCTCTGTGGATGAAGGAATCTCCCCGTTGGCTGTTTACCAAGGGCCGCCGCGAGCAGGCCATTGCGAACCTGTGCTGGGTCCGTCAGTTGGAGCCCACTGATATCTATATCACCGAGGAAATCGCTGCTATGGATCAGAGTCTCGAGGAGCAAAAGGCCACCATCGGTGTCGGTTTCTGGAAGCCCTTCCAGGCTCTCGGTCAAGCCAGGAACCTGCAGTATCGCCTGTTCCTGGGATGCATGCTCTTCTTCTGGCAGAACGGCTCTGGAATCAACGCAATCAACTACTATAGCCCGACCATTTTCGAAAGCATTGGTGTTCAGGGCAACACGAAGGGAATCTTGAACGGTGTCTTTGGTGTCGTCAAGGCTGTCATCACCATCGTCTGGCTGCTTTTCCTGGTTGACCAGCTCGGTCGTCGCAAGCTGCTGCTTATCGGTGCGGTTTGTGGCTCAGTCTGCATGTGGATTATAGGCGCGTACATCTGTGTGGTGGAGCCTACCAAGCATCCCCAAGACCACCTCAACAGCGGTGGTATCGCGGCTATCTTCTTTTTCTACCTCTGGACAGCCGTCTATACACCTACTTGGAACGGTACTCCGTGGGTCATCAACGCGGTATGTTCTTCTGTGTTTTTTCTGTCATATTTTGCACAATCCACTGACTGGTCTGGACAGGAGTTCTTCCACCCCAACATCCGTTCCGTGGCGCAGGCCGCCACCACCGCCAGTAACTGGCTTTTCAACTTCCTGGTCTCCCGGTTCACGGAGCAGATGTTCGAGAAGATGGGATACGGCGTGTACTTCTTTTTTGCCTCCCTGTCGTTCCTGGCATTCTTCTTCGCTTTCTTCCTCATCCCGGAGACCAGTGGCATCCCGCTGGAGGTGACCGATCAGCTGTTCAAGATCAAGCCGATCTGGCGGGCCCACTCCATCCTCAAGGAGCAGCTCAAGGAAGAGGAGGAGCGCTTCCGTGCGGAGATCAAGGATGGCATGTTCGACAAGCCCGAGCCCCAGGAGCACCTGGAGAACACGAAAGCCGCATGATGATGGAGTTTGTCGATTAGCCCGTTTTGCTTTGATTTCGGTTTTTACACCTAGACGGATTGTATATATGTGAACGATAGATCATAGACCTGGATATATATTATTTCTTCTCTTTTTGGACATCTGCATTTGTTGGTAGTGAAGTGGTTGAGTTGGATCAATAAAATAACCAGTTAAATAATTGACATCAAAAATGGCTTAGCATCTTTTATCTCGATGCACTTGAGTTGTTTTCTTTTCACTCCTTCGAAGAAATGTGGATGCCTAAAATTCTCCGCTGACTATGCTGCAGGAGGGCCCTGCATAATTTTCCCCAAAAGACGGCCCCAGATGGATTGACCATCCATTCCCCTCAAAGACAAAGAGAAGGGGGAGGGCACCGCCACCCCGGGGTAAAAAAGCCAAGCCAAGTGTGCAGTATGTACAGTACAGTACCGACACTACAGCAATCCCTCGCTCCGTGACGCGATCGGGTTTGGAGGGGTTTTCTTCAGCGGTCGAACTGCAGGTGACTCGCATAATTCTTGATTTCCTTGGTGGTGTCACCTTCCAAGACGGGGGGGGGGAAGCGACTTGGAGCCTTGGGAAGAGACATTTCCAACCTTGAAGCGTTCGGTAGTCTTCTAGGTACTACAGGGGGAAAAGCTTTTTTTCCCCTGTTGTTTCCGCGGGTAAGTCAGGTCCAATGCTTCGACCTTCGATATACATTTACAGCAACTGTGCGGGGATGGTAGGTTATGAATGAAAGTTATGAATCTCGTGGATGTATTCAGGGCTTTGGGGGAGGTCAGTTGAATAGCTGGATGGACTATTTTAGTAAGATTCACGGCTCGGAGTGAATGAACTTCCGACTCAATAATCAGAATACGGAGGGACTGAGAGGGGTAATCCGACCCAGTTAGTAATTAAGTATCCACCAGCTGAGTCGAGTCTTTTCTGTACTGCCATTTGTGGTAGAAGTAGGTATAGTAGGTAGTCAGTCCACCTGTGTCCCATGAGTGGTACAGTACATACAGTTTGTTGTATGCACAGGGGGGACACTTGACTCTGAAAGAAATGGGTGGTGGGTGCATTTGCATGCAAATGCCGCTCTCCTGGGCTCCCCCTCCCTCCTCCCCGGAGAAGCCCGGGACCATCTGACTAATGACCAAAGAAAACACAAAAAAGAAAAAAAAAAAAGACACCGAAAAGAAAAACAAGGTTCCAAGAAACCCAAGAGTCCAAGAAGTCCAAGACCTGCACCCTCTCTCCTCGGGGTCCTCGGGGCGGGAAAAGAAGCGCCAAGAGAGGTAGGGGGAGAGAGGAATTACTTGGTATGTTTTGGTATTTTGGCCACCCGGTCATTCTTGACTTCGTGGTGGACGGTTCGATAGCGAAAACAAGGATCAGACTTTCCCATAAGATGAATCCAGCTATATTAGAGCTAAGTACTCCGTATTGTACAGTACAAAGTAAGTACCTAGTGAGGTGTTGGTTGGAATCGTAATAATAATCCGTTGGCTGGTGCTTCCTTCCCTCACGGCTCCAAATGTCAGACACGAGAATAGGCTCCACAGGTCTTTGCGGAAAAAGAAAAAGCATCGATTCCTGCAGCTACTCGACCTTCCAGAGTTCCAGTCGCCATTTCTACGAGGTGATAATAAGTAGGCA